CACTCTGAGAAGGAAGGACACTGAACACTCTTATACACTTTCCATAATCTTCTGCACTGCCTTGGCCTTTGGACAGAGTCATAACTGAGGGTGTATCTGAGTTTATGTTAATAGATAGCGTGGTTCATTCCAGCGACCACTGAGCTGGTGCTTGAAAACGAAATAATAGACATTCCTCGGACGCTGTAAAATGAGTTTGACACAATTTATGAATGAGCATGTTTAAAGTAGCTGCCCTGGCGCCTCACAATGACAACCTGTGGTTAGTGAGAAGCCGGCATGTACTGCATGTTGAGAACTGCGTAGAGGTCATTCCACAATTGGAGGGCATTTCCTGCCCTCCTCCCATGACAAAATAAAATAAAACTTAGATCAAAATCGTATCTAAATAAATGTTTTACATGAAACAGTTGAGATTTGAGGTAAATATATTGTACTTTTTAAATACAACTGAACAGATGTACTGGGTTAAAAGGTTTAAGCTACTTGAACATTATGTACAAATCAATTCCAGTGAAGTTGGAACATTGTGTTAAACAAAATACAAAACACAGTTATTTGCAAATCATGTTCAACCTATATTTAATTGAATTCACAACTAAGACATAATATTTAATGTTCGAACTGATCGACTTTATTGTTTTTAGCATATAATCTTTAACTTGGAATTTTATGGCTGCGACACATTCCAAAAAAGCTCGGAAATGAGGCAAAAAAAAAGACGGAGAAAGTTGAGGAATGCTCATTAAACACCTGTATGGAACATCCCACAGGTGAACAAACTAACTGGGAACAAGTGGATGCCTTGATTGTATAAAAGGAGCTTCCCTTGAATAGCTCAGTCATTCACAAGCAAAGATAGGGTGAGGTTCACCTCTTGTTAAGTACTGCGTGAGATAATAGTCAAGCAGCTTGAGCACAATGTTCCTCAATGTACAACGGCAAGGAATTTAGGGATTTCATCACCTACCACATTCTGCAAATGTTACAACAGTGTGGCTTGTCATGAAGGAGTATGGGTACTAGAGTGGCCTGCCTGCAGTCCAGACACGAATTGAAAATTTGTGGCATGTTATGAAGCGTAAAATATGATAACAGAGAACCCGGACTGTTGAACAGCTGAAGCTGTACATCAAGCAAGAATGGGAAAGAATTCCGCCTACAAAGCTTCAACAATGAGTCTTCTCAGTTCTCAAACATTAATTGAATGTTGTTAAAAGAAAAGGTGATGCAAGACAATGGTAAACATGACCCTGTCTCACCTTTTTTGGAAAGTGTCGCAGCCGTAAAATTCTAAGTTGATGATTATTTGCTAAAAACAATAAAGTTTACCAGTTTTAACATTAACTATCTTGTCTTTGTATTGTATTCAATAAAATATAGGTTTAACATGATTCACAAATCACTGTATTTTATAGTAATTAGACTCTGATTTTGTCTTTCATCATTCAAGTAAAATTCTAAGAGCTTTTATTATAATATCTCAGACCATGGGTAAGCCTAAATTCAAGTTTTTCTTCACCCCCCATATGTTTTCAGCCATTATAGAGTGTGGCACTGAAACCAAAGTGATACAATTGCTTATTAATATCAGAAAGAGACATGATCAAATCATTTTTTTCCCTTATATAGCTACATTTCAATGCGATTATTTTTATTTGTCTCCTTCTTGAAAAATTCGTATTTGATCACCGTGTCCCTGTGATGTCAAGAAACAAGAGGAAATAATAGAACAGTGCAATTCCTTATCAGCTCGCAGTGAATTTCATAGCATCATAAACAGCAAGTCACCTGTTGGGCCTTACATGTTGATAACAGAGCAGCAAAGGGTAGTGCTGTACTGTATTTATTATTGTCATTCATTACCAGCACCAAAAGATTATTTAACAGTCATTTCCTACCATGAAAAATGTAACAGCACAACAATAGCATTGAGTACATTACACCTATTCTCCTTTTCTTTATATTTTAGAATGCCATTGACTTAAGTTAATGTCGGGGTTCCTTTTAAGAACTCTACTTGTTTTCATAAAATACGACCAGTTCTACTTCACAGAAACACTGTCATAAGCAAACAGCGTCCTCTTTTGGTTGTAGTTGGAGATGCATTCTTAATATAATGTCGCACCTTTTCCACTTAAATTGGCCAAAAAGCAAACGAATAGAGACAATATAGCAAATGAACGCTGGAAAACACAAATATGTCTGTCTAAACGTACTCGGATAGGGTTTTCTAACCTTTATTGAGTCAAAGCACATATTTTATATGAAAAAAAAATCCCCCAACACATCTGCCATTCAAAAATTCACCCACATAAGGTGTTTTTCGGTTGTTATCATTAGCTAATTTAGCATTTTCTTGTCAGTCGTTTCACAACGTTAGCAAAGCTGTGGGAGCACATTGTTTTGACAGCGCGTCCAATATATATTTTTTTATTCTCAACGACCAGAGGCAAGTTAATAATAAAAGGGAAGTGTTGTTTTTTTCTTCATTGTCCCTTGCCAAGTTATTGAATGTTTATTGTAAATTATTGACAGTAAAGAGGCATTTTTACTTTTCTACTTAGATAAGTAGCTTATGGTGTAGTGGTACACTAGTCTGACTTGTGTGCGGGCAGCGTGGGATCGGTTCCCACTCAGTGACGATGTGGATGTGGATGTGTATGGTTGTTTGTCTCTATATGTGTCCTGTGACTGTCTGGCCACCAGTTCAGGGGTCATTCCGCCGTTTGCCCAAAATCAGCTGGGATAGGCTACAATAATTCCTACGACCCTGTTCAGGATAAGCGGTGTTAAAATGGATGGATGGATACTTGGGTACATTTCAGTTTGTACTTTTCTATTTTTATCTAATAGCATTGTATCAATGCATCTACTTTTATAGGAGTCTAACATGGTAGCATAGTAACATAATTGCCTTTGTCATTTTTTTTTTTTTGGTCATGATATCAATGAAAAAAAGCAATTATTTTTTTTCTACATAGATTTTCAGTTCTTGTTTGTTAAATTTGCTGTGGTTTTATTTAATAATTTAAAAAATGACTCGTCCTAAGGGTATTAGGCAAATCATATGAGTGCTTTTGCCAGCTCGACTTTGCTGTATACCATTCGGTTAGGCGCTGTCATCTCTGAGTGAGGCGCCTGTAGCGGTTACCCGTCAATCCCGCTGTTGGTCAACCCTTCAAACTTGCCACAACAGCAGATTTAGTGCAGACGTCTCTATACTGACTGAGCCTGGTGGCTATATGGGAATCATGGTGAATGAACGAGACAACAGGCCGGCTTAACGCTTGGACCACACATTCAGCAAAATGTGGTCACTGCACATTGTTTACCAGATGGCCCCTTATGTTGTTCAACTCCTCTGCAAGATACAGTAAAGTGCATTTGTGATTAAATTCACCAGCTTTGTTTACAGTCGTATGTACAACATGTTTGCTTTGGGATTCATACTTGAGCTAATTCAGTGCTGTCCAAATACTGTACACAGCTTGCTTAATGGCTGGCACGACATATGAAAAACATTCAATTAAACATTATGAAGGAGGATTAGGGCCACAGTGAAAAGAAGAAAAACTGTTACAGAAAAATGTTGACATTTTGATTTGATTGAAGGTGTCATGAACGAATATTGTCCTTTACGTCATAAAGTTGAGAGAGAGGCTGTTTTTCCTTAAATACATTACTTTACAATAATCTTCGCTCATCTTGACCTACATTCAATTGTTTTAGAATATTTTTAAACAAAGTAAATGTTGTCAAAATCGCTTTGCATCTTTCTGTTTCTTTGCAAAAAGATATGTAGACCATTTGAAAATGTTTGAAAAAAATACACTGAAAAAAATGGTGTGTTGAATTTACTCAATTTTATTTTGTCAACTGGTTGAACAACATAAAAATCTCTGTAAGTAGGTGTGTAGTCCACTTAAAAATGTATATGGATCCAGATGACTTCATTTCATGCAACCACTTGACAAAATCCATCTGAAAAAAAATTAAACAAAAAATGTTTTCAGTGTATTGCAATACATTAGCATTTGATCTTTTCGAGTGCTGTATTTTTAAACATACAGGTAAGTAAAATCATTTGTATCACTTTTATGGAGGCTATATATATATATATATATATATATAAAAAATTGAATCAATTTACAGCGAGTCCAGTGTTAATGTTCAAACTTTGCACTATGTCACAGTGGCTTACAATTACATTTACATACTTTATAGGAACAAAACCTCTGCTTGGCTTCTGAAGACACCTTGGGCCTACTATGCTGCAGTATCCTAAAGTTGGTCATTGTAGTGGTACTGGGGGTCTTCTTTTTGAGATGGTATTTGATGTAAAAATATGGTCGATACAAACTGAGGAATACCTTTCAAAGCAGTTGGATCTTGTGTAAGGTGGTCTTGCCCACGTCCTGCCATCCCCTCAAGCATGACACTACATAGAAACAATGCAGATATCACCGGAAGTGGAACGCTTGCCCGGAAACCAGCGACATGTGCATCAAGAAAGAAATGTTAGGATCGGGAGTGGTTTATTACCTGACGAAAGGTTAAAAAGCATTTCCGCATATTCTCTTATTTTGAAAATCCCCCGTGTGTTTTCCGGTGTTCGTTTTTCTGTCTTGACGTTGCGCGGAGGCGAGCCCGTCCGTGATCGCAGAGGCGACACGCATCCTCCTCCCTCCTCCTCCTGCACCTCCTCTCACACCACTGACCTGAGCTCCTGAGCTTAGCCGTGTCCTGACTGCATGTGAGTGTGCGTGTGTCTACGCGTGAGCGGGAGTGTGAGTGATGCCCATAGTAGGCCAGCAGAAGCAGCAGCAGCAGCGGCGGCGGCAGCAGCATGGAGGATCTCAAGGAGAACTTTGGATTGCCGCTCGGGAATAACGCGTGGTCGACCTGAACCTCGTCAGGCTGCGCGTTTTGGATATATTTGTTTGGATGTTGTCCCTCTTTCCACCTTTTCTAGACGCTGGGAATTTACATTTGCTTTTCAAGTCTCGTTTGGGGCGTGCAAAATGCCTTTCGCCAAAAGGATTGTGGAGCCGCCGCTTCTGTGCAGGCACCAGATTCCAAACGATGAAGGTCTGCTCTTCGAGGACCTGTGCGCCATCACTAACGTGATTCTGTCCCGGACCTTGCGACAGCTGTCCGACCTGGCCCGGCACGCCTGCTCCTTGTTCCAAGAGCTGGAGAACGACATCGTCAGCACCAACCAGCGGGTCTGGGGGCTCCAGAACAAAATAGGCCAGATCCAGCAGAATGCCAATGCCCTAGACCCCAAAAAGGAGGCAGTGCGTAAGTAGAAGCGGAATAGCCCCCACCCCGCCAGCGATCCCCCCCACCGCCCTACGCCCCAAAATGCACCCACCTGATCCATGTGTGTGTTATTTAAACACTCATTGAATCACGCACGTGTTATTACAGACAGCCGCCAAACGTGTCTCACGACACGCAATTTGACTTATTTGCGCTTTCACATTGGTCCCGCGACGCATTGACTTTTGTGTGCAGATTGGAAGAGCGTGAAAATGTGCGCGCGGGTATATGCATGTGCGTGAAACTGTGCTCGCGCGCGCGATTCTGTGTGTGTGAGGGGCGTGTGTTGCCGCTGCATTGGCCCCGCGTCGCTCTTCCATTTACTGCGGGTTGCGCACACCCACGCACGCACGCACACGCACGCACACACGTACACACGCACACACACACACACACACACACACACACACACACACACACACACACACACACACGCACACAC